GACGTGTGCAACATAATCTACATACCAGACACATATCAACGATGTAGATGTTGATAATACGAAGAATGTGACATTGTGTTTTTAAATGTTAAATTTTAGACCGGGTTCAGTGTGGCAGCAACGTTAAGAGTATACACCTGATGATGGCCGATAGAGGCCGAAACATGTAGTGTAGAAAGAACAAGATCAAAGACATATAATATATATGGTTTGCACTTGGGACGGAATTTGTATCATTTATCGTATAGAGTGCAACAGGATGCTTAAATATAATATTAATTATATTAGTTTATGAGGAAGTTTCAACATCAGGCATCTGTGGTTGGTAACAGCAATGAACCTCCGGTTCTGTAACTAACAGACTCCTGTAATAATCTACCAGAAGAGAAACCTCCAGAGAATAGATCCTGACTGAATATTTATATTTTAACCACACAAGATCAAAGTGTCATTAATTTCAACCTTAACAAAAACTTTTATCTCTCTCAGCATGTGATATTTGTTGGCATTCTGATTGAAATACAACATAGGAAAAAGAAATTAAGGAATTTTACATTATACAAGAATTTGAAGCTATTAAAATCCTTTCTGTACACCCATTATTCATCCACGAAACAGGGGCTAGTCTGACAAACTAAAATGGTGGTTGGGCACTGCAGAAATTAAAACTGTCTCTTCTAGAATGAAGAAGAAGAAGGAGGAGGAGGAGGAGGAGGAGGAGGAGGAGAAAAGTATACACAAATACATACCAAGAGGACACTGAACCAACATGTGAGGTCTTCAGAAACACCCAGTACAGCACCAGCATTGTCAAACTCGCCACAGTAATTTGGTGCTGAGAATAAGGTAAGCATCGAACGGTCTGCAAAGAACTGGTAACCATCTTCCACTACCTGATGTGCACGCACTATAAGCGAACAGTCATGGCGCTGGAGGAAACTGCGCACAATATCACTACCAAACACATAACTCACACCACGGTCATTCTGTGCCCATCCGTGAACTCCCTGCAATAAAAGACAGATACAAATAGCGCTAGACAATCTGTCAGAAGTAACTATAATCTTAAGAGAATTTGCAGTGCTAGATTCTTATATTCCATGAATGTGCGCATGTAATGTAAAATGGTTTCCTTGCTCACATTATATAGCAACAAAATTGATGGTAACTTATCTGTCTTAATGGTAATGGTACCTGTGGGCACTGGCAGTGGCGGGAGCTAGGTATCTGTCAATCCCCTCTATATTTCCGTGGAACGGAGGGAGAAATTAAGATTGAAGGGGAACAAATATACCAAATATTAACACAAAAAACTGAAATTATTTTTAAAAGTGGTGACACTTCTGTTTCAATATAGAGACTCACAACTCTAGGGCAATCTCTAAAAACATTCTTCAATGGCATAAATGTAAGCGTGTAAGAAATTTTTAGCTGTCCCCCCTCCGAAAAACTCCTGATGGCACCTACGGAGATAACTCATTTGAATTGTCATTGGGGACTCGATATGTGACAGGAGTACCAGGCACAATGCTCTGAGTCTGTTCCAGGTATATTTAATGTACTGTGAATATAGATGAAAGGATTTACAGGAGCAGGGCTAGATCCGTGGATAAGCTACAGTAAGCTATGGCTTATAGCCTTGCAATCTGGAGGGCCTCCAAACACAATGAAGAGGCAAACGCAGTAAAACTTGGGAAATAGCAAACATCTGACTGCACTGCACGAGATCTGAATGCTGGAAACAACAAACACAGGAATTGCAGTGACAATAAAAACAAATTTTCAGTTGATATGGGCAGTAAGTTGCTAATCTGTGAAGATGAAAGGGTTAACTGACTGAATTAAGGTGCTTGAACTTCCTGCCTTTCTTCCGTGTGGCAACGGATATTCTGGGATTTCTAAATTTCTGTGCTTGGGCCATTATTTAGTATTCTGAAAGAACACAACATTCTGGAAACTGGATATGTTTCTGTTCTCAGGCGAAAAAGTGGGGAGATACCTACTCAGTTGTGTCCAGTAGGAACAGTCAGTCTCAATTATTGGACCAACTGACTCCAGTAATTAAGATTCACCTGAGTATGAAAAGAAATCTGCCAAAATTTTGTGTTCTTTCAGAATATTAGATGATGAACAGAGTTCAGAAACTCAGTAATCGTGACTAGAACACACCATCAACAGAACCAGTTAGAAATGGCTGGATATTTGTTGAATCTGTGTTACATATAAAGATTCTACTTACTTCTGCAGGATCTCCCCACAGCAGATCACAAACAAGACCAGAGTCTGGAACGTCAATGGGCCTTGGGATGGCTCGGATCTGCAAGAAGTTAATGGTTTCAATGATCATTTATACATATAAATATTAATAATGTAAGAGAGAATAATACATTTCTTTAATTATTTATGCCATGAAATGAATGTACCAGCTATACTGAACATCAAGAATATTTAAAGAAAGTTATTCTTCTGTCTTCAATGACATAGGGTAAGCAATAAAACTAATGATAAAAAGCAGCAGTTTGCAAGCAAGTTGTCTGGCTGTCTGCCCTTCGGAAGTTTGATTCCCAAATGTGGAAATGGATTTCTCTCCCCTAAGTGCCGTCCAGACTCTTCCTGGGGTCCACCCAGCATCCAGCTCATTGGATATCAAGAATGTTTTCTAGGTTGTAAATTGGCCAGAGTGTGAAGCTTACCACTCACATCAATTGACAAGGTTAAAAATAGTGGAGCGGTACCTCCACTCCAACACACTACTTCATGTGTGATAATTAATTGTACGTAGACACAACTTTCAAATTTATCTCTTACTCCCCCACAGCATCCATGTTCAGATGTGATCTGAATATGGTGGGAATAAGCCAAGAAAAGAACTCCAGCCTCTAGTATAGGGGTGGGCAAACATTTTAGATGAAAGGAAGATTAAGGGTTGCAGTCATTATGCCAGGTTGGAAGGCAGTCAACATAATATTTTTAAATACTCTTTAAGTGTACTGCTGAAAAAATCACCTGGAATAAGTGTCTTATATTCATGTGAAAAAATATGCTACTACATTGCATGGAACATTTTAAAAAATATATTGATTAAATTAGCAATAGTATTATTATAAAATTTTCACAGTATCTCCACACGCCAGACAAAAAACTCTCATGGACCATATCTGGCCACCAGCTTGTAGCCAGTTGTCTTAAAATATAATCAACATACCTGATTTAAATCAGTGAGTTGAGGTGACAGCCCACCATGCATACAGAATATGGTGCCTTCTATTAGTGCAGCTGAAACATTTTAATTCTGAGTTAGAAAGAAAACATGGTGTAGTGTTATACATGGCCCTCAGACAGAAGTTGCTATTGCTTTTCTCACTTTGTTAACTGTGGGGTTTTAGATTACATTCATATTCAAAAGGGTCTATATAGCTCACTGATGTTTCAGAGGAATTCACTGCCTCCATTTTCAGGGCTGAAGAGTAAGCCAAGAAAGAAATGAACAAAAAGAAAGAAGCAAGCAAAAGAGAACTTTGGTTCAGATGTAGACTTGAAGAGAAGCCCAGAAATTTATTCATCTCTTTCATGCTTTCACTTCTGTTAGACTATGGCATCATATTCCTGAAGATAATGGCATGCACACTTGCTCACTTTGGTTTAATTATCTCAAAAAACCTATAATTTGCAGAAAAGTTACTAGAAATAAAACTTGTTTAATTTTCTTCTACAGCTTAATTATTAAACATTTTTTATAATCTGCAAATTACACTTATGATTAGCACAGAAACACAGGTAGCTCTTCAAGTACTGCTTTTTATTGTCAGCTATTAACGGAAAGAATACTTACCTACTGGAAGGCAGTTGAACAAGTCGGTGAAGGTCTTCCACAACTTAACGCTGTATCTTCTCTTGCACTCCTCATAGAAACCGTACACCCTGAAAATAAAGTCAAACATAACCTTACCATGGGCAGTTATAATTTAACAGTTATAGTACATATTAAATTGCACAAACAACAAAATATGAAACATTCACAAGTGATTTTTTCAACAACAAAAAGGAACTTTTTAGAGAACTACTCTGACTTTTCACTTAGTTTTGGGGGTCTATGGATTGGTAGCATACTTTTTTGGGGACTTGAATTTAGCAAATTCTGTGTAATAAAATCAATAGTCCCATCATTCATTCATGAAAATTGTGTGTAAAGGGTACGTTACCTGTTGATACTCGCACATTCATGGTTGCCTCTCAGCAGAAAGAAATTATTTTGATATTTCACCTTGTAAGCCAGTAGCAAACAGATTGTCTCCAAGGAATTCCTGCCCCTGTCAAAAAAAAAAAAAGAGGCAGGAAGATACATATTAGTCAATGCATGCACGCACATACACATGTGTGATGTCACTAAAGACAAGGGACCTTCAGAACATCAAACCAAAATGATGTGGTCTTGAGACCACACTTCTGAGGGTAAAGGCTTTACAGATCAAAGGGTTTTGAATCACTTAAACCACAAGTGCCAAATGTCGAATATTTCAACATCTAATAAGATGTCATATGTGTTGGCATAGGGTTACTATTTCAATTATATAATAAAGAAATATTTGGAGGGAACTTTTTCCCAACATTCGAAATTCTTAAGAATTATTTATGCATTATTTACGAACGAATGGAAAGCAGCACCGACAGCCCTAAGTGATGGCTTAGCAATGTAGAAATTCAAGCTGACACCTCCAGAATTAAAGCACACTGATGACTAACTGTACCATTTGCTTTAACGTTGTAAAAATCCCTGTATTTTGCGCACAAAATGTATGTATTTATGTATTTGTCATAATCTCAGAAAAGCAACGATTAGTTTCCGAAACAACATTTACGAGTTGTCCTTTGCAGTCGAGACGCAGTGTTTCCTGTGAGGTACGAACTGAATTTGTAAATATTTATGTGCATCACAGGCTTTTCCTCAGTTCTATTCATGGGGTCTGCAAGTTTCAGGCAAATTAAATTTCCTCCCATTTTTTTTAATTGGATTGTGATTGTGAATTGCGAATTCTGAGAAATGTAAAAAGAAGCGGCAATGGCCTACTTAATTACATGAAGCGCCCAATTAGCTACGTAAACCTCTGGTCAGGAAAGACGGCCCCAAGCCAACAGGATCTCCTGAATACGTAGCATTATTAGCCGGCTTGTATAGTCACTATGTTGCTCTTCATGTGTTACTTATGTCTTTACGTATTCATAGCTTATTTAATGATGCTATCAGTGACTGAGTATTGGTCACAGTGGCCGTGCGGTCTAAGGTATGAACCGTCTTCGCCCTCTTGAACACTGGAATCAAACCCCACTCAAGGCATGGATGTCTGTGTGTAGGTAGCGACCTTGCGACGGGCTGGTCCCTCGTCCAAGGAGTCCTATTGAATGTGTACAGATTAAGAAACTGAAATAAAGGCCAAGGACCATAAGGGCTGTAGAGCCATAGATAGATAGATAGATAGATAGATAGATAGATAGATAGGTGACTAAGTCAATATAGCGTCGAATGTTAGGATGGCTGATGAATACCGGATTGATTGATTGATTGATTGAAGTAGAATTCCAAGGAAGTGGTCGTTGACTGATTGAGGTACCATCCAGGTATTTGCAGGAAGGGACTGAGTAAAATATCCGGTGTTCAGCAGAAAGAATTCCTCTCCGAAAAATCACAAAGAAAAATATGCGTAATTAAACTTACCCGGCCGAGATTCGAACAGGGTGTCTCCCGAATACGATTTGGAAATATTACCGTCTGAACTAATTTGATTTGTCTTCCTGTAATATTTCAGGCTTCTCAGCCGCTCCTAAGTCCCTGTATTTTCGTGAGAAGGTTTCATTCAAATGCCTCGATCTCTGTTTCTCACATGGGCGACTTCGGGATGAGGGGGACACACACACGTCACACGTCAGGTTTGTGCCCCCCTCGGGAATTTTGGGAAACACGAAGTTTGAAAGAATTAGGAAATATATATAACAAATAGTAAAAAAGGAAAACCCTGAGATTAAACATATATTATTCCATCCTGAATATTTTCGGGCGATCACTAAAACGTAAGTTTCCAAGCAAATATCCTGGCTCCCCCCTCCCCTTACTTTTGGGAAACTGGTTAGCATCAGTGACATTTCCAGGTGACGCCCTTTGTTTTCGCCTCGAATTTCGCAGCCATCTGTAAATCTGACGTGAAAGTGGGACGTGATGGACGTTTCACAGGATGTAGCCATATCCCTCAGGAAGCTTCCGGTCCCAAAGTGCCACCCTCCACCACTTCATGACTTTCGCATTGCCTAACCCGCGTCTTAACAATATAAACCACGGCTAACATTGACCTACAAATTTTATGTAATGGGAATGCAATGCATTGTGGGCCTCAGAGGCCGACTTCTCCAGATGCCCTGAATGTCAGAGGTCTTGAAGGGAAATGATGATTGACGTTGCTATTAGTAACGGCCACGCCCCTTTCTATGTATAACTTATCTCATTTGCACGTAAGGACACTGGACGTGAAGGAGTAGTTGAACAAATGACAGGTGATCAGCCTATAAAATATGACGACAATCTCATACGAACACTTGCTACAGTAACGTACACAGAATGAAATGAACGAAGACAGAGACATAGTAAGGCAGGAAGTAACAAAAATACAGAGAGAGGAAAGAAGAAAATAAAAAGGAAGATAACAGAGAAAAACATGGAAGGGCAAGGATTTTTCCTTACCACAGAGTCTAGACCGACTTTGGGGCTCACCCAGTCTCCTATTCAATAAGCAGCGGAGGCTCTAAAAGCGGCCGGAGTGTGAAGCTGAATGTAGCACGAATGTGGAAGAGGAGGAATGCATACAGGATATTGGTGGGAAAGCCAGAAGGAAAGGGACCACTGGGAAGACCAAGGCGTAGGTGGGAGGACAATATTAAAATGGATTTTAGAGAGATAGGATGGGATGGTATGGATTGGATTGATCTGGCTCAGGATGGGGACCATTGGAGGGCTCTTGGGAACACGGTAATGAACCTTCGGGTTCCATAAAATGCTGGGACATTCTTGAGTAGCTGCAGATTTGGCTTCTCCTCAAGAAGGGCTCAGCTCCATAAGTAAGTAACCTGCTTGTTAGATGCAGGTCTGTGAGGTCAGAGGTCATGATCACGTCTAATTCAAACGCCTCAGTGTGGTGTGCGTGTCTGGGTGCCTAAGAGCGTAGGAGTCGCTTTTCAAACAAACCTCGACTAAGATAAGGATACTTTCTATAGCACTGGGGTATAGACGTCACGAGATGACGTCATTCATGTTTCCACTTGTCCTTGTAGATGGATATGTTGGGCGAATTGTTGCTGTGCTTAAGTAAGCATAATGCTATGGTGACAAATGGAGGAGTGGAGGTATAGCTCCATACATGATGAACCTCATTTGTAGAGAGAGATAAGTGTTCAGGTTCACGCCCAGGCCGCTTTACCCCTAGGAAAATACCCCATGGTCCCAATTCGACAGAATATTGGGCGAGCCCCAGTGCCGATCTGGACGCTGAGGAAGTAAGAACATTTTTGCTCTTGCCGAGAATAGAACCCCGGCCAACCAGCCTGTGGCCAGTCGCTATACCGACTGCGCTATCCCACCCACATCGGGTGGGAATTGTAATTTACCTGTTAATTTACATATTTCCAGTTGATCTGTTATTGAATTTGAGCTTTCAAAATGGAAGTTTTTCCGCTCTTAGGTTATGGCACCGTGTGTATGTGGGCAGTCCTGTCGACGTTTCGGAAGTAAATATTACCTCCATCTTCAATTCATTTTACTCGCTTCGATCCTAAAGAAAATCGCATGTTTATAGTGGCTGAAGTTTCGACCACGAACCAGAAACGTAGAAAACTGACCAAGCTGTAAGTACTAATATTCCCATTATATGCAAAAACTTACAAATAAACTATTTTTAAAATTCTAATTGCAAACATTTTTGTGAAGATAAGCTTCTATAATTGAAATTAAATTATCCTTTCTAAATAAAGCCATAACAAGAATAGAACTTTCATTCGTTTTTATTACCCACTGCCTATGTTTGACGTCATCATCTTTAAAAGAAGCCCCTGAACAATGGCCCCGGAACTCAAATAGGGACTGGGGTTCCTGTATTGACTACAAATCTGAATACGAGTACAAGTGAATTCACCGGGTACCCCTCTCACCTGTCAACGTAGTCACCAAGGAACAGGTAGTTGGACTGCGGGGGGTACCCCAGCTTGTCGAAGTGTCTTAGGAGGTCCTCATACTGGCCGTGAATATCTCCCACGATGTTGACTGGAGCCTCCAGCTCCAGCAGCATTGGCTGCTCCAGGAAGATCTTGCGGGTCACTAAGCACAACTGGCGTACCTGCCATTCCGCTAAGTTCACCTGAAACGAAGAAAAACTGCCTCAGGTTGTCTGACCCACTGTGTTAAAATAACGAGTATAACCGTCTTGGAAATACAGTTAGAAGGCCACAAGAAGATAGGCGGGATAGCTCAGTCAGTATAGCCACTAGACTACTGACGAATGATCGAGGAATCGCCCTTCTATTCCCGGCAGGAGAAATAGGTTCTTTCATTTTCCACAGCTTCCAGACTGGTTCTGGGGCCCACCCAGCATCCTATCCAATGTGTACCGGGGGTGAAAAGTGGTTGGAACGTGAAGCTGACCACCCCCCTGTCTAGCGCCGAAGATAAGAATGAGTGGAGTTATACCTACCTAGAAATGCTTAATTAAGCCCGGGTAAAGCTATGTCTTTACCTCTTATAACTTAAGCTATCCCTGTAACAGACCGTGGAGGCCCATAGCGTTGTGAGACGTTGAGGCTCTCACATTTTCTAGACACTCGGGTCACAGATAGCCGTGAGGATGGCAGCCCTTTACCCCCAGGAAGATTCATGGTACTCATTTCTGTTACAGGCTGAGTCGATCCCAGGGCCATAATGCGGCTGGAAGGATTAGGTAAATTGAAAATATCTACCTCATCGGGACTAGAACCCGCGACCTTCCGACTTATAGCATAGTGCCTCAACCAACTACGCCACCGCGTGCCCCTGTTTACCTCTTATACAAACGGATACTGTTAAGAATGACTGTGTCATAGATCAGACGGTTTAGCGCTGGCTTCTTTCTGCGGAAATCGGGTTCAATACCAGATGACTCCTTTTCAGTTTTGTGGTGGACAAGTGGCACTGGGGCTGGTTATTCTTCGAGTTTCTTCGATTTTCCCCAGCTAATTATTATTCACCATGGCTGAATACTTTTCTCTCACGGCCCACTGGAGTGTGAGTTAGCGCTGATGAGGCAGCACATTATCATATCCTCGGTCTGTAAGCTGGGGGCTTACCTCTGAGCCCGCACTTGGATGGTTACAGAGTGAGCAGTTTGGTTCAAATTCCATTGGCAACCATGACATTTTGTCGTCTGATAAACGAAAGGGACTTGCAGAATATACTGGACAGCGATATCGAGGAGTCGCAGCTGAATTTTAAGAGACAGAACCGCCATTTTGTCCTTCAGAACTCTTTCCAATTTTGTGAACCGATCCCGCTACCCCTCCATTTCTTGGCACGCGCTGTTCCTATGAATAGACCAGATAGCGTATTTTTAATAGGTTTCGCTTTCAGCAATATGTCACGACCAATAGGTGAGTTCAGATGTAACGCCGTATAGACCAGTACATCTTTAGCAACGTTTCGAAAAACCTTCTGCCTCCATCTTCAGGGCAGAAGAGTAATTATAGAGCATGCAGCCAGTTTACAACTGACAGTCAGTCAGTGTGTCCGATGTCGAGCCCTCTCCTTGAGCTCATGCCCAGACCCGAAGTCTGCAGTCAGTCCGTTGTATTCACAGCCGCCAAGGACACGGCAGGTCTCTCCATTGTCGGGTAAGCCAAGAGCGTAGCACAGCATGGGGAAGGTGGAATCAAAGTCAAAGTTATGTTACCACCGACGGTCAGTCGGCCCATCTGGGGCTTACGACCAAATTTGTATTACTGTGAGATAGTTGCGGGTTTGTTGATGTGGGGCGCTCTCTCTGGCGGCAGGATGGGTCTGTCGTTTACAGTTGCTGCTGGTCCTCGCCAGCGCAGTCATTCTCGAGTACAAAGAATAATGGGCATTACAATTTTGTGCCCGAAGGGTTAATATTCCCCCTTCCACACACTAATTTATTTAGTTTACCCTTTCCCTCCCCCTTCTCTCTGCCCTCTGAGTTATCAGCCTCTCTGATTGTTTTGTCTTTTCTCCCATTCACTCAGGCTTTGAAGAAGCCATTTAGAAGTTCACTGTATTCTTACTCTAACGCTCCTGACGCTCCTGACTTCCCTCCACGTCTTACTGATCCAATCAGATCCACTGTTTCCGGCAAACACTCTGTCCTCGAAAATAGAGCTTTTGAATGGCCAATATTATGTACACTGTCCTCTTCAATCCCATTGGTTCACTCAGGGCTCACGGTCCTACATTCCCTATTCCGTATCAATCTTTCAAAACTCGGTTTAATTCTACAACCTGAAGATTGAAGCAAAATATTTCTCCGAAACATTTGTAATTTTCCATCAGACTGCAAGGTATCACATCCCAGAAGATAATTTCCATTATCATCTCGGTTACTGTTGACTAAAATCAGAGGGAAATCGGGATTTGGGAAGGTTAGTTTGCGTCCGAGGGAAATGGGTATAAAGGGGAAAGAGCAGAGAAATAAAGCAAGGGAGGAAGAAGAGAGGCGGAGAGACAAAAACAAAGGAGGAACTAAAAGCAAGGGAAATTAAATGGTGAAAAGAATGACAAGAAAACGGGGAAAATAGAATGAAAGAAAAGAAGAGAATAGAGAAAGATTGAGAAACTCCTCTCGCCAGTTAACCAGTTGATGGCCTTCAAGGCTCTGAGCCTATTTTAGCAGCCAAATAGATAGCAAAGGAACAGTAGATTTCCAGTGAAATAAAAGTCTGATTGTGTAACTGTGTAGCTGCTTCGCCGAATCTATAAAGTCTCTTGTCTGGCAGAAGTACAAACAATGCAATAAGCCCGAAGCGTTTTATTGCAGCGATTTGGGAACTCGCAAGCCATTATCATGATTTCGCTGTTGTGAGGCGCTTTTTACCACCAACTCGGTCGATATTGAGAGAGGGCCATCTATACCGGCCCTCAAACTGGATTACAATAACAGCCCCTGTTCCTCCCCCTCCACCACCGCTACGTGTAAGGTAAACAGATAAATTTGTCCCTGAACTTAACTAATTAAGCACTACGCCATGAAGACGCATGGGGGAGTGGATGTATAGATCCATATTTTCTTGACCTCGACACTACCTGGAGGTGAGTGGTCAACTTCACGCCCCGGCCGCCTTACCCCCCAGGGAAGGAGCCCCTTTCACCCATTGGATAGGAGGTTGGGTGGGGCTCAGAACCGGTCTGGACGACGTCAATAAGAGAAAATTCTTGGCCCAATTGGAACTCGAACTCCGACCACTCGGTCGTCGAACTCGTGGCCAGTCGCTATACCGACTGAGCTTTCCCGGCGGTACATGTACCGTCTGGAAAAGCAATAAATATATCCACTTCCAGGCGTGTTCTTATTCCTGTATATAAAGGTGAAGCTGTCCCTGTAACTGGCCGTGGAGGCCCATAGGGTTGTGAGACGTCGAGTCTGAAACAAAATAAAATAAGTAAAATTGTCCCTGTTTTTAAGTGAACACCACACCATGAGGATGCATAGGAAGTGAAGATATAGTTCCAGACATTCTTTACAAGGGCACTAGACAGAAATGAGTGGTCAGCTTCACGCTCCGGCCTAGTTAGATCCGGGGGAAGAGCCCCCGGTATCCATTGGATAAGAAGCTGGGTGAAACCAAGAGCTGGTTTGGACGCTGCTTCTTACCTAGTCACTATACCAACTGAGCTATCCAGGCGCCGAAACTAAACGACATAAAACAAAAACGTACGGAGACTTGAAGGGAAAAGGTGGAGGCGAGCTAGGCCCGAGAGACGGTCCGGACGCTGTAGACTAGATAAATTTTCTTGTCCCTGCCAGAAATCACGATTCCTCGGTCATCCAGCCCGTAGCCTAAAGATCAGTTTTAATATTATCCTCCCATCCTTCAATTCATTCCTACTATGCATAACCCGAAAGAAGGGGTAAGACGTAACTTGGGAGCCTTACTCATGAGTCAAGATGATGGGCTGGTAGAGTGGGGAGGGGGTTGGGGCACAGTGCAGCCCCTGCTACCGGTCGATACTGCGCTCAAAGGGGCAGTTTTGTCGCAGTGCCCATGCACCCGTCGGATAGATTTCCCATTACAATCAATCACTCCCAACCCTCAGTAAGCACGTATGAGGTGTTAGGGTGAAGGGAGGCGCTGGAGGAACACAAGAGCAATTGCTGACACGGGGTTTTACCACACGTCCTAATTGGTGTGTTCGAAAAGAAAACTTGCAAAAATATGCCTGTTATGTTCACCATTGTTCTGTCCGTAAATTTCTTCACAAGCCACAATAACCGCTGAGCGAAATTCCATAAAAAGTGACATCCGAGACTTTTATCAAACTTTGTTTATACATTCCAAATTTGGTCAAAATCGGGCAACAATATCGGAAGCGTTAAATAATCATTTACGGCGTTTCTCAGCACATCTCGAGGGTGAAATATAAAGTTATCCCCGTAACAGGACTTCGAGGCTCCCACAACCGCCTCACAGATGGCGATGAGGTTGTCTGCCTCACGCGCCGGCCGCCCTTTACCCCCCCCCCCCCCAGGAAGAATCCTGGTGCTCATTTCTCTTACAGTCTGAGCCAACCCTATTAGCCACATAGCCCCTTACAGGGATGGTTTTACTATTAATGTGCTATACACACCACCAAAACTAAATTTTTCCATAATTTTTAGTGCACAAATTGCAATACCACATTTAGTCGTAATCTCTTCAGTAGTTTGCGGTATATAACACAGACGGATAAACACAAACGGTGAGGTACATGGAATGCGCGTCGTGAGTTATTCTAGAGTTTATGGATTATTCAGTCGTGTGGCGATTTACTTATCGAATGGTTCTAGTACAGCACTGAAAATCACGGTCAGAGAATTGGCTTAAAGCCAAAAGGCTGCTTGATAGGACCCACCCAATCACTCCCATTTCGATTATAACCGCTCTTTCTGAACACATTCCCCGTGGCTGTTTTCCAATTTGCACGGCGCCTGTCTCAGTTTAACTGGAAGGATCCCAGAAGACGCTCTGTGTGTCAAGGATTGCCGCGTTGTCAATGCATACACGGTTCATTTCATTAATTGCAAAACGAACCACAAGGAGGGCTGGCAGTTCAAAGGGTCCAAAAATAGAACTTTCTTGTATTGTCCCTAAAGGAGGCCCAAGGCTGTTTCTGAATAATAAGAAACTAGCACGAAAAGGGCGTTCAAAATTCGAAATATTCACCGACACTTTTCAAGTGGTTATTAACTCTCTGAAGCATTAAAAGATAAAGTTACCCCTGTAACAGGCCGTGGAGGCCCACAGAGTTCTGAGACGTCGAGGCTCCCACATTTTCTGGACAATCGTCTCACAGATGGCGGTAAGGTTGTCAGCCTTACGCACCGGCCGCTCTTTACCCTCAGGAATATTCCTGGTACTCATTTCTGTTAGAGGCTGACTCGAACCCCAGGGCCATAGTGCGGCTGGAAGGATTAGGTCAGTTCAAAAATCGAATGACCTCATCCGAAATCGAACCCGTGACCTTCCGGCTTGTAGAGTACTATCTCAATCAACTATGCTACCTCGTGCCCCCTTTGAAGCATTAAGATTTTGTAAATCCTCTCTCACGCACGCACACATGTGTGCGTAGATATATATACATACGTAATCTTTCTAAGCGTGAAATTTACCATTAAAATTACGCAATTTCAGGTTACCACAGAAACTAACTGTCGAGCGTTAACCAGTTCCATGAATATAAGTTATGCAGCAGTTCACGAAAGTGCAAGAAGTCTCTTGTTTCACTGTGTCGTGTCTATTCTGTGAGTACTGATACTCTTTTGATGCACGTATGTTAAGTGTAGCATATTACATAAAGAAGACTGATCAATGCTGGGTTATTTGTGCGTGTCATTCACGGGAGATGGCGTTAAACGTTGGCCTCAAGGCATCATTCTGTAACTTGTAGGACTGGAAAAGATTAGCAGAAGTCGGTAATAAGAAAGCTTATATAACAAGTGCCGGGACTTCTTGTTGGACTGTCAACTGGTGTTACGATTGATATAATTACAAATTCACTTCCTGTGTTGCAGGCAAAGCCACTGAGTCCTCGTTATAACGACCAATCTGTTAATTCTGTTTAGAAAAATAATCGCTCTTTATTAAATCGTGGAAGTTGAGGTGGGCATATGTTGTGCATATCATTAAGTAATTTGACTAAGTGGCCGATGGGGACTTATAAGATAACAATCGTAGCCTATTGCAGTGAACACATTTTGCAAGGTATTCATTAATGCTTGGTGGACAAAGGCATTGCTCCCTGTATGAATGTATTTCTAAAACCGAGGAAAATGAATGAACAACTCGGCCGGGATTCCCAGGCAGTAGCTTGACCAATAATTATCGATTATAATCGAACGAGTTCCCCAATTTGAGTGTGGGGTCTTATTCTGCCTTGTAGAGACAAACAGAAAGAAACAAAAAACGAAATAAGACTTTTTTTTTTGTTTCTGGTTCATTTAATGACGCTCTTAAAAGCGGAGATCATGTAGCATGAATGGTAAGACGATGAGTAACGTAATGGAAAGAATACGGAACGAAGTGGTCGTGGCTCATTTTGAGATATCTTCCCAGCGTTTGCCTGAAGGAACTGAGGAAGACAACGGAGAACCTTAGTCGCGGTAGCCTGTCTCAGGCTAAACAAGAAACAGGAGTACAAAGATTTGGTCAGGGAAAAAAGAAACAAATAAAAGAAATAAAGAAAATAAAGGAAGACAGGCAGAGAGGAGGTAAAAAGAAATAGGGACGTGAAATTCCACGCTTCTGTTCGCTCCGCTGTGTCTGTTGTTTATTTAACGACACTGTGTAACGTCGGATGATGAACTGGAAAGGCTTTGGAAAGAAGCACATGTGGCCTTATCGGGAATTTACTTGGAGGGACTGAGGAACACCGCGAAAAGCCTCAGTCAAGACGGCCACTGTCCCAGCGTCACAGTTACCCTAACTGACTCGGTGCTTCTGTGTGTCATGGCGGGAGGGACCATCAAGTGACACAGGGATGAAGTCTACCCACTCTACGAACTAGGCACGCCATGCTTTGTGTGGGCAACCTTACGGGAGGGGCATGTCTTCCGTAAGGTCAAGGTAAAGTTGTCCCTGTGCTTAACTAATTAAGCACTACGCCATGAAAACGCATGGAGTGGGTGTATAAATCCACGTTTTCTTGACCTCGAAACTAGTTGAAGATGAGTAGTCAGCTTCATGCCCTGGCCGTTTTAGTGTCGAGGAAAGAGCCCTTGGTACCCGTTGGATAGGAGGCTGGGTGGGCCCCAGAGCCGGTCTAGACGATCTGGTGAAGAGAAAATTCTTGACACTACCGGGACTCGAACTCCGACCCCTCAGTCGCACAGCATTAGTCAGTCGTTATACCGACTCCCTGTCTTGTGTAAGTGCGTTTGAGTTTCCCAACTGACACACGATTACCCTATGTGTTGAGATCAGCATGTTGCAACTTCCTATCCATGACGTAACGGTGTGCGTAACTAAGCCGTAATGACGTACACTCGTTCCTAGAGCAGATGCATTATATCAGGAGAGAAGGAGCAGGGTTTGATTGTTCCATGACTGCGACTATAAGTGATACTGTGACGCCGTGTAATCTGGTAAATCGTTGCCAACTTTTCGGAGGCTCGTCTTGCTTCCATCTCCAGGGTAGAATGTAGACTCTTGCACCTTAAAGATGGAGCAGCACTTTCGTCCGAAACGTCAATAATGATCTACCAGACCACACGGCTTCACAAACCTATGTTTCTTTGTTGAATGTGAGGTTCTGGCGCCTGTGACAACGAAGAGACAATATCTGATTTTCTTATCTATATCACAACATTTAAGCTCCCTCATGTAATGAAAAAGAACACTGGGAATGAGAATTCTAATCACACCCAAGATACTTATAGTACTCGCAAATTGTTTTAACAACCATGGAAAAGTATGCAGTAAATTTCATATTATTTTCATTATTTTATATATTGTGACTACACACGGGTTTTGGATTGATGATTTGGGTTTATTGTACACTTTGATACAGCGCGTGACTACACTCACACACAAATACTAGCGTCCGTAGTCACGTCTTCACTGTCGTTGCTTGGTAGCGGCTACCAACAGCGGACGTATCGCTTACTCTGGGTTCCCGAACTCTTCCCTGCCTCAGCAACAGCTCACAACTGAACCTCAGCAGTTATCTAACTCACTAACTCACCGATGAACTCCAACAAAAGTCAAAGTCAAAATTACTTTAAGACTGGCAGATTACCGCCGATCAGTTCGTCTTGGTGCCAAGTCCCTCGAGGATAATAACCAAAGATTTCTTTTTCAACTGAACCCTTGCGTTTATAATCCTTATGTAACATTCTCTCTGACGAGATGCTAACTGACTTATACTCATAACATCTCGACACGGATCGCGTAGAAAACACTGTTCCTCTGTTGCATATTTCGCGACTGTTGCCTAGCAGCGGGTCTACATGCCACAATATCTTTGAATGTTCACTGTTAAGAATGCGGTAAGGTAAGACTTCATATGCCATGAAGGCATATGGGGGAGTGGAGGTATAGCTCCTAGACGAGAAATAAAAATGTACACACTGAACTGATATAAACTTAATTGTAAAAATTTACATTTTTATACACACTACCAGGTTAGTGAGCATGACTCAGGACCTGAATAACTTCCATGATTGAAACTGATGCACCACAAAGTCGGTTTGGTATGTCCTCGCAATCTCTCCATCTCTTTTACCTTTTTATAAACCTAGGGTATCGAAATTAGAAATAAATTTAATAATATAAATATTTACCTGTTTGTCAGTCTTCTTCCTGCCCGCCAGGAGTTGCGTTATAACTTTATCCACATCCAGAGCCTGTCTGAACATCATGCTTGTGGATTCAGTAACGTGTTTCCAAATATCGGCCACAAAGTTGTGCGACAGTATGCTCAGAAAATCGCGGGTGTCACCGTCAAACACTCGCATCCAGTTCAGTTGCTGTGGGCATGGTTTCGTGCGCAACGTTCATACGGCATGGCCTGAACCACCACTGCTGTCACTTACCTGCACGGCTCGAGCACAAGCGACTTGCGCATGCGTCATGCCGATAACCAGTAAATGAAAGCGATGGACGACGCGTGACGTCCTCACGTCGTTACAGTTTCTCCATATTGCTTCTTAATTTTGAGACAGCCTATCACGTGGTACCATTACGGCGAAACTTCAAATTTCCGCTGTACGATTTAAAGCTTTCTCCCTGATTCTACGCACTTTTCGTTCGGTCCCGGACAAAATGTCCACAACAGCGTGAAAGTCCAACGGATTTCACTCTTCGACAAATTTTACCTTCATTTTTCGAGTCCCGACAATTGAAAATTAACAGGATTTGTTGGTTTACGGTGTTGAATTTCAGAAGATTGACAATAAGTTTTGGGAAGAATTAATCGCCAAAGTCTAAGTCACATTGCGACTGACGGCCAGTCAGTCAGTCAGTAAGTCTTGGTGTCGAGCCCAATCTGGGGCTCATGACTGGACATTTATTCTTTGACAGTTAAGGTCCTGTTTTTGTGGGGCGTCCTCTCTGACGAGAGGACGGGTGTGTCTTTTGCATATGCTGCTGGTCCTTGCCAGCGCAGTCTTTCTCGGGTCCGAGTCCCTTCAGACTCGCTACCATATTTTACTGTCTCAGATTTGAGACTTCCCTTTTCGTCGCCTCCTACGACTCGTAGGGTCACGGTGGAGGTATTCGAAACCGCCTCCATACGGGTTGCTAATCAGAACTAATTGCCTCCTTTCCTTTCATTACATATTGAGTGTCTGACACGGCTCGGACTGCACAGAAAATGCCGTGTCCAATAGTTCTGTTGTTGTGCGTGTATTTGTTGCCGCAGGAACGTGTTTATCGATCGGTTCTTAAGCAAATATCTTCTCTTCTGGCTCGACTATTCCGAATTATAGGCATTTCGGGGACACACAGACAGGAAGGTGATCTCATAAGACTTCTTTTACTATTTTTTAATAAGGAAAGTAGACTAAAGCCACAGACGCCACTTCGCTTATGCTCGAGGTTTGCCCTTTCGTAAGTTTGTAAGCAAATTTTCTGGCTGTCCTTCCACCACTGGGAAGAACATGCCGGCGATCAGAATCGTGGCATATTTAAAATATGCAGAGAGAGGCTGAAGAAAATCGCAAAGTAGTCAGTCAGGATTATAAGCTTTTACGCATAGAATCAATCCTATGACCTCACAACTACTAATTATAAGTTTTAACCACTACACTGCGACATTTCACGATTATGTATAGGGTGGGATTGTGGAAGGATACAGCAATAAGTAGCCAGATGTTTGTATCAGGACAAGGATGCAATCTTGGCCATGAAAATGGCGGCCAACTGGAAGTTACATAGCAACCAGAAAGTCTCGCTCTATACTGTGACAAGTTTAATTTGTGTACTTCATTTATGCATGTAACAGAATTCCAAAGACATTAAGCAGACTTTGTCTCACACATCTCTGTGAGTACGTCATATCTTGAGTAGGCAACCTTAGGGCCTTGTATATTCAAGATGATCTCTGGTACAGGGGTTTCAGTCCACATTATTATTATTGTTCTACAGTCTTTGTTGGACCTTGGCCGCCTTTTTTGTTCCTTGAGTCGGTAGGGCCCCTTGAACGGGGGATCAGCCCGTCTCAAGACTTCTACCTACACACAGAAGAACGCAAACATAAAATAAAGCAGACAATGCAGATATTCATGCCTTGAGTAGGATTCGAACCCACGATCCCAGCATTCGAGAGAGCGAAGACAGTTGATGCCCTATACCGCGCGACCACTGTGATAGGCTTCAGTCCTCATAGTACGTCGACTCCAAGGATGACATGAAGACACAGGCGATGAAGGCGCAATCTCAGAGATGTTTCAGACACTGTACATCACGTCTCACTTAACATGCACCGGCCTCCACAAGCGAATCAATACGGCGTTGCGTGTTGCCAGTGTTGGTGTCTCAGCGGGGCAGAAAAAGTGACAGTGAGAAATTAAGCAAGGAAGGAAGGTACAAAGGAAGTGAGGGAGGAAGCAAGGTCAGGAGGGAGGAAAGAAAGAAAGAGGAAAGGGAATGAAGGAATGTAAGCAGGGAGAAAAGTGAGGGGGACGCAAGGAAACAGGGAAAGAAAAGAGGAAAAGGAAGCAAGAGAAGAGAGTAAAAGGTAAAGGATAAAGTTGTCCCTGTGCTTAACTAATTAAGCACTACGCCATGAAGACGTATTTGGGAGTGGATGTATAGATCCACATTTTCTTAACCTCAGCACTAGTTGGAGGTGAGTGGTCAGCTTCACGCCCCTGCCGCTTTACCCTCGGGGAAAGATCCCCCGGTACCCATTGGATAGGAGGCTGGGTGGGCCCCAGAGCCGGTCTGGACGATATGGAGAAAAGAAAATTCCGACCCTACAGGAACTCGAACTCGACCAGCCCGTAGCCGGTCGCTATACCGACGCTACTCCGGAAGAGGAGAGAGTATAGCAAAGAAAGAAATAAACGAGTGTTCTTGACAGCAACAATTCACTGCTGCAAAATGATGCCAAAGTACGGATTTCAGGCACACAGAGAAGTGACGTGAAGCCCGAGGCGTCGATGTGACGCCGTGCAGACGGGTACGCTGCTTCTGCTTTGAGAGTAGATCTAATCCGAACTGAATTTGCAATCAAATTCTTGCTGAATTTCTCTTGAAGGTCATAATTTGTCAACAGTCACAGTTTCGGACTCCGAAGAAGATACGTCATAAACACTTTCGAATTTGGGCGCTTCTGTCGTGGTTTGACATTCCAGTGAGGAAACAGATTGTGGATTTAAATCTTTATGTGAGTTTGTTTCATTAACTGTGGAATTCTTAAGGCAGTCTTTGATTTTAGGTTCTGAAACAGAATGGTTCTTTGACGTTTTCAAACGTTCCTGTTTTATGGGGCGTGTAGCCTCTCTTGCAAGGAAAACAGACGTTCTGCTGTTGGCAGGAAGTGTGTCAGCGTTTGAGAATTCCCTTTCATCGTCTGCAACCGAAGGAAGGCGACATTCGTGGTAGGAGTGACGAACATTTTGGTGTTCGGCTACATGAAGTGTCTTCAGGCTCGCGCTCCGTCCTCTTTGAACCCGATTCTTCAGGAACGTGTCATGATGTTGACGGCGCAACTCTTTCTGAAGTTCCTGCTGGAGTTGCAAACGCGCAGTGTGTTCATGGTGACGTCCCGACAGAGAAGTGGCTGTGTTCTGATGCGTAACACAAACCTGGATGTTTCTTCGCTTGCAGAATTCCTTGCGGTGTCTGAACACCACGTATGTTGTGATGCCACAGACAATAAGAAACAGCAGCAGAGCTGCAACTATTACAACGTATACGTATATACGAGAAAGCATATTTACTGGAAACTCCGTCACATATTCTGCGTCACAGAAAGTTTTATTGCAGGATTTGTTAAATTTGAAGGATTCAAATTTATTGTCGGAAAATTCGAAGTCTAATTCCTCGCATGCCGACAAGATCCGTACCCCTTTCTTCATTCCCCACTTCCTAAATTCCCATAATTCGCAGTTGCATGTCAGATGGTTCTCAGACACTTTCAAATACGTCAGGTTGCTGAGATGACATACTGTATGCAGTTGTGCATTGTCCAAGCGGTTCCCGGAAAGATCCAAAACTTCGAGGTTATTTAACTCGGAGAATTGGCCCCCGTTCAGTTTATTGAGTAGATTTTTGTGCAAATGAAGTCTCTTCAAGCTTACCAATGGAGTAAACACGCCAACTTCTAATATCTTCAATTGATTACCTGACAATTCCAAAAGTTCTACATTCTCCAGAAACATAAATGCCCGAGAATCAAGTGTCTGTAATTTATTATTCGACAAATCCACAACTAACAACTCTTTCAACGTTATAAATAAATCACCTCGTAGAGTTCTTAGCAAGTTATCAGTCAGGTACAGAGATCTGAGTGATTTTAAAGGTAGGAATAATCCAGGATCCAGAGTTTGTAACAGATTATAGGACAGTCTGAGCTCCTCAAGATTTGGTACCCTTACAAACGTGTTCTCCGGAAGAGATCTAATATTGCATGAAGACATGTCGAGTGATCTGAGGGATGGGATATTGAGGAAAGATCTACTGACTGGAAAGTCGAGATTGTTATTGTCTAACTTGAGAAATTCAAGCCTGTTATTCATCCTGAAGACATCTTCCTCCAGAGAGACAATTTCGTTTTTTCCAAGATACAGATATATCAGGTCCTCCAGTTCTGTCAAAGCCTCCTTTTCTATTGTGGATATCATGTTGTTGCTGAGGTCAAGTATTTTGATACGGTGAACGCTGAACACTCCATTCTCGAGTGAACGAAAGTTGTTACCAGATGCGTTGAGAAACTTCACGTCACTAAGAAGATCTTTGGGTATGCGTGTCAGTGATGAATTGCAGCAATCCGTCCTGTAACGAGATGGGCAAGTGCAGACTTGTGGACACGGAGTGTCACTAGCTGCAACAACTGTCACGAACATTGTACCGATTACTAGAAATCTTCCGCTGTCCATTTTCGGTTTGCAGGATATTCTAGAAAGTAGAAAAAAATTACGTCACAAGCACTGTAAGACATATACATACATATGGAAGAGACTGGGGCAGTTGTAACTTGTCTGACTTATATTCGGGAGGCACCAATTTTGTGTGTTACCCACAGCATTTTCATGATTTTCCTCAGGCTTTCCTTGAAATAGATCATGAACTATACTTCTTTTCTAGTTAATCGTATTTAACATTCTCTCTTAATTCGACATTAAATTGGCAAGGCCGCTGATGTAGTGTAATTAAGTAATTCATATGTGACGAAATGATACTGTTAACTTTCGTGCGTCTGTGTGATGGAACGGACCGACTTGACGAGAGGAGAGTGCGACTCTATCCGCCATGGTCTGCGCTCGCTGAAGAAGTCCACTGTCTTCAGTGGTCCCACGAGTCGTGGGTAAATTCGCCGATTTCATTCAATAATTTTCGCAGTACAGAAATTTCACCGGAAGGTTCCCCAACAAATGATCACGTCAAGGATAATGAAATGGGTAGGGCATGTAGCACGAATGGGGAGAAGAGGAATGCATATAGGATATTTGTGGGAAAACCAGAAGGAAATAGACCACTGGGAAGACCAAAGCGTAGGTAGGTGGACAATATTAAAATGGATTTTAAAGAGACAGGATGGGATGGTATGGACTGGATCTATCTGGCTCAGGATAGGGACCAGTGGAGGGCTATTGTGAACACGGTAATGAACCTTCGGGTTCCATAAAATGTTGGGAAGTTCTTGAAAAGCTGCACAACTGGCGGTTTCTCAAGAAGGACTCAGTTCCAATGAGTAAGTTAGTTAGTTAGTTAGTTAGTTAGTTAGGCTCCTTAACCTGCAACCCCCGAATAAAGGTTAAAGCCCATAATTAGTACAGAGTGAGCCGTACAGGCAAATCAGAATTAAACTAAACTCAGAAGAAGAAATCGCTGTCATAGGAGACTTGAGTGGTCCGTGTGGAGGTCAAAACTTCGTGCGGCTGCTCCTGAAATCCACATCGCTCATAGCCATAACCGCAGCTGTTTCTTTGACCGTGAACTGTATCCCATTCCTGCGAGAACATTTACAATTAGTGACCCACTACAGAGAGGCTCTGACCTGCAACATTGCACAGCCCAGACGTAGCCTCGAGTGGGCAGAATTCGAAATGCAGGCTGGGCCACTGGAATTTAACTCCAACAGAGGCGAAAAGATTTTTCTTCTTCGCAGCGTCCAGACAGACTCCAGGTTGCTCACAGCTTCCTAACTGATGAGTAGCGGGGTTCTTTACCCGTGCGTGAAGCTGACCACTCACCTCCTTCCAGTAAAAAGAGAAGGTAAAGCTACCCCTGTAACAGGTCGTGAAGGCCCATAGTGTTACGAGACGTCGAGGCTCCAACATTTTCTAGACAATCGGCTCACAGATGGCGATAAGGTTGTCAGCCTTACGCCCCGGCCACCCTTTACCCCCAGGAAGATTCCTGGTACTCATTTCTGTTAGAGGCTGAGCCGACCCCAGGGCCATAGTGCGACTGGAAGGATTTGGTCAATTGAAAAAAATCCACCATATTGTGACTCGAACCCGCGACTTTCCGGTTTGTAGCATAGTGCCCCCATCTTCATCCAGTGCCTAGTTTAAGATTGCGTGGAGCTATGCCTCTATTCTTCTCCAAGTCTTTAAGGCGTGATGCTTAATTAAGAGGTGGAGCAACTTCATTTTTTAGCCTACTTTCCTCATTTTGAAAAAAAAAAATTAAAGTAGGCGTATGCGCTCTCCTTGTTCTCTGTACGTCCGTGAACCCCCAAATTAACTTTGAATGCCTGAGCCGATCTTTATGAAACTCGGTAAGTATATCACGGCACCTAAACCCATCTCAGCGGCGTACATCATAAATCCCTTCCATCAGTCTCTTCGTCTGTGTATCCCCTATCGTTGATAGGCAACGGCTCGGTGAAAACGTTACCGGGGCAACGGATACACATGCAATAGAAGAATTGTTGGACGAGTCGTTTTATACTCGGTCCGTGTCGTATAAAGGAAAACAGGCGACCGATGAGCCCTTTTACCCCGTGTGGAGCCGGGGTCGAATACCTCCACCGTGAACCTGCGAGTCGTAAGAGGCGACGAAAAGGGAAGTCTCAATTCTGAGACAGTAAAATATGGTCACGAGTCCCAAGGGACTCGGACCCAAGAAAGACTGCGCTGGCAAGGGCCAGCAGCATATACAAAATACAGACCCGTTCTCTCGTCAGAGAGGGCGCCCCACAAAAACAAGACCGTAACTGTCAAACAGTAATAAATATCTGGTCATGAGCCCCAGATGGGGCTCGAAACCAAGACTTACTGACTGACTGGCCGTCAGTCGCAAGGTGACTTTGACTTTGACTTGAGTATGGACACTTAATTGGAAAGGGCGCACAATGCGCTGTTACGGACTCATGGAGAAACGGAGGAAAGTAACGAAGAACCTCAATCAGTACTGCCGATTCTAGGGGCCGATGTTTGAACCCGGGACAATACAACACGAGGCAGGACTGCTGCCCACAGTGACATTCAGTAGTACATAACGAAGAAATCAAGATAATCTTGGGGGAGGGATGTTATTTTAACAACGCTGTCAGTAGTCACGCTGTTCAGATAGCGTCGAATGGTAAAGGATTCGGAAGGAAGCAAACTTTGCCAACGTTGCCCAATCGAGGTACTATCCCAGCGTCTGGAGGGACGGACAAAAACTGCGAAGAAACTCAGTCAGCATAGCCGGTGTCGCAAACGAAGTTCGATATCGCTTTATCAATTGCCAAGACTGCACCAAAGTAAACAGTAACTTGTCTGTGTTACTCAGATTACGGGCTGACTCGATCACACGTATTGTCGCTGTGGGTATCGGCAGGTGTGTGGGGCGTGAGTCAGATCACAGTAGGAACATATTCAGGCAGATATCAAGGTAAACATATCTGCACACGGTTTGATTTAACGTGTGGGGCACCGTTCAGATATTTGGGAACGGCGATAACAAATCAACACCTGATTCAGGAGGAGATTAAGGGGAGACTGAACTCGGGTAATGCTTGCTACCATTCAGTCTAGAACCTTCTGTCTTCTCGTCTGCTGTCCAAAAACATAAAAATTAGAATATACTCGTACAAAACTATACTTTTGCCTGTGGTTCTGTATGGGTGTGAAACTTGGTCTCTGACCAAGGGAACATAGGCTGTGGGTGTTTGACAACAGGGTGTTGAGGAGAATATTTGGACCGAAGAGGGATGAAGTGACGGGAGGTTGGAGAAAACTGCATAATGAGTAGCTTCATAACTTGTTCTCTTCTCAAAATATAATTAGAATGATCAAGTCAAGGAGGATGAGGTGGGCAGGGCATGTAGCGCGAATGGGGGAGAAGACGAATGCATATAGGATATTGGTAGGAAAGCCAGAAGGAAAGAGACCACTGGGAAGACCAAGGGTTAGGGGGTTGTCAATATTAAAATGGATGTTAGAGAGATAGGATGGGATGGTATGGATTGGATTGATCTAACTCAGGATAGGGGCCAGTGTTGGCTCTTGTGAACACGGTAATGAACCTTCGGGTTCCATAAAATGCTGGGAAATTCTTGAGTAGCTGCACAATTGGCGGCT